GGACAGGCTCCAAAACAACACAGAGAAACCCTGTCTCAAAAAAACAAAAAAACAAAAAACAAAAAAGATAGGAAGGAAGGGAGGGAGGGAGGGAGGGAGGGAGGGAGGGAGGGAGGGAGGAAGGAAGGAAGGAAAAGAAAGGAAGAAAGAAGGAAGGAAGAAAAAGAAAAAACAAAAAAAGGACAGTCTAATTTAGAATTAGGGGCTGAAATGAAGACTTACTTGGCAAAGTTCTGGCCACATAAACGTGAGATCCCAGTTCAAGCCTCACATGAGAAAATGCTTCCCTCAGATTGTCTGCAGGCACGTCTGTAGGGTATTTTCTGGATTGCTGATTGACAGGGGTGGGCCCAAGCCATGGGGGTGGGACAGGGCCACCCCTGGGGCAAGGGGTCCAGAGCTGTATAAGAAACCAGGCTGGGCAAGCCAAGAGGAGCAAGCCGGTAAGCAGAACTCCTCAAGGGTCTCTACTTCAGTCCTGCCTCCAGGCTCCTGCCTTGGGTTCCTGCCCTGGCTTCCCCAAAGATGGAGCGTGTGATCTGAGAGTTGGAAGCTGAACCAGACCCTTTCCTCCCCAAGCTGCTTTTGACCATGGTATTTTACCACAGCAACAGAAACAAACCCTGAGACAGAGATTTGTACTAGAGTGTGGGCTGTGGCTGAGACCGACCTGGCCATGTTGTTTTTGAAGGATCCTGGAAGGAGTTTGGAACTTTAGGCTGGAAAAGCCATTGAGCATTCAGAGCTCAGAGAGCTGCTATAGGGAGCATGAACGATAAGAATGTTAAGAGTGGTAAAGACAGTGGAGGCCTAGCTTGTGACGTTCCAGAAGGAAGTTTGAGACTCTGTTGGGGTCGTTCAATACTTTGCATTAAGAATCTGAGCAGCTGGGGCTGAAAAATCAACTGTGGTTAAGAAAATACCAGAACCACTAAAGTGACACCTTCGCTTTACTCGGACAGTCAATGGTGGTTAGCGGGACCCGAGAAATTATCAGTGATTAAGAGACCAGTACTACTGAGGTAAAATTTTCTGGGACTATTTCCTCAAGGCTGCACACAGAAGCTGTGGTCCAGAGAAAGCCAAGGCTACAACTCATGTTGGCATCCAAACTTAGTAACGTGTAAGAGTCTCCCAGTTGGTATTGGTTTTTGAAGGCTTGGAGGGGATCATGGAGAGCAGTTGACCCTTGGCCCTGAGAGAGGCCAGCAGAGGTCACTGCTGAAGGTAGAAGCCCCAAGACTGAAGTGTTCACGGAGACCATTTGAGGCTTGGCACCACATAGCAGGGTCAGAGTCCCTGAAGAGAGCCTAGGCTATTGGTGAGGCTGCTGCCTAAGTTGCAGCAGAATATTTGAGATACCAGGAATAAGGGGCAACCACCACGGAACAGCAGCAGCTGTGGAGTGGAGCCGCCCTCAACCCATGAGACGTGCTGCTTCATGTGCTATGAACGAACGGCAGAACCACAGAGGTGGAGCCATTGGAGCCCTGGGAAGGCCAGAAGATCATGAGTGCCATGCCTGGCACTGAGCTTACACAGTTGGCCTTTAGTTTTGTTTGAGTTGAATGAGACTCTGCTCCAATTCTTCCCTTTTGGAGTAAGACAGTATATGTTATTTTTTTTATTTTACAGGTACCCACGTTAAAAGACTTTGTGTTTTTCTGGAGAGACTTTGAATATTTTAAGGAGATTTTGGAGCTTTAAGTGTTGACGTTTTTTAAAGACTGGGACTTTTAAAAGTTGGAGTGTTTTATATTGTCATATTAATATTAACGTGGCATCTTGGGGACAACCAGAAGAGAAAGGTTATGGTTTAATAGTGATGACAAGTTGACAGGGCGTCAATTGTTTTGGTTGGTTTTTCTTTTGTTTTTTGGTCAAGTTGACAGAAGCTGGAGTTATCTGGAACCTCAGTCGAGAAAAATGTTTCCATCCAGACTGCCCGTAGACAAGTCTGTAGGGCACTGTCTTTATTAATGGTTGACGTGAGCAAGAGAGGAAAGGTTGTAGTGTAACAGTGATGTGGTTCATGTCTGCCTGACAAAAACCTGTGTGCCCAGCCATATGGAGCTGTGCCACCTCTGGGCAGTTCCTGAACTGTATAAGAAAGCAGGCTGGACACAGCATGAGCAAGCCAGTAAGCAGCACCCCTCCATGGTCTCTGCTATAGCTCTTGCTCCCCAAGTTCCTGCCCTGCTTGAGTTCCTGCCCAGACTTATCTTCACGATGGACTATTAACTGTAATCTGAAATAAACCCTTTCCTCTCCAAGTTGGTTTTGGTCATGGTAATTATCACAAAAATAGAAAGCTAACCAGTACAAATACACACACACACACACACACACACACACACACACACACACACACACACACCAAGAATGGACACATCTCCAAAGAAAATATATAAATGGTCCATAAGCACACAAAAAGTTTTCAGCATCATTAACTTCAAGAAAAAAAATAAAAAAAGTGAAATATTAAAATTGTAATGACATTCCACTTCTCCCCAAATTAGCTCAATATAATGAAATGAAAAAGAATGTGGCCGGGCGGTGGTGGCGCGCGCCTTTAATCCCAGCACTCGGGAGGCAGAGACAGGCAGATCTCTGTGAGTTCGAGGCCAGCCTGGGCTACAGAGTGAGTTCCAGGAAAGGCTCCAAAGCTACACAGAGAAACCCTGTCGAAAGAAAGAAAGAAAGAGAGAGAGAGAGAGAGAGAGAGAGAGAGAGAGAGAG